CCAACCTTCCTTCCGAGGAGTGGCTGGTGGGTTTGAACCGCCAGCCGTCTGGTTAGCAGGCAAGTGTCTTAGCCACTATGCTACCAGAGCTCCCGGTTCTTCTACTAGTTGGTGTTTAATCCACTTCTATATCTTTCCTTTCAAAGCTCAGGACTCCTGGATTATTTTGTGTATCTGTGTCAAATGGTTCTCTTTTCTTAAGAGGGTCTGTGTAGCTTGTCTGCCTATTCTACCATCTTGATGTGTGCTATTTTCTGCTAAGGCTCTTGGTTCCTCTTGGGGGTCTGATAGGAAATTTTCAAGTCCTTTTCCATAAATAAGCTATCTCCAGCAGCATTTCCCAAACCCTGTCTGTACATGAGAACTTTCTGGAGAATGTTCTAAATCCCAGTGCCCAAGCTATACCCCAGACTAATGGAATGCAACTCTTGGGGTAGAGAGAGACCTGGCACTAGTATACCATTCAAGTCCAGGTGATTCCAATGTGCAGCCCAGGCTTAGAACTGCCTCTCTGCCTAGAAATGTCCTGCTCTGTTGATGGGGACAGCATAAGGTGTGGCTGGGGTCCCTGAAGGCCTGCTAAAGAAGGAGATTGAGGAGGGTTTTCTAGAACCTCAGCATTTCCTCAGGATGTGAAGTACAGGAAGACTCCAAGTTTCCAAGGCACCCTTGGCCACTAAAGTGGGCTCACCAATATTGAGGCCTGATGCTGACTCCCAAATGCTCAACACCCACCACATGTGGCCTGACTCACTTGTGGTGGAGGACACTGACTTTCCAATGTCCACTAAGGACCGGTGGATGGGCTTCTTGGTCTGGTGACGGTGCTTCCTCAGGAGGACATAGCTGACCCTCTCCCGGAGCTCGGGTCGCAGGAGACCATCCTCGATCTGCTTCTCAATGACATCATCTGCATAGGAAACAAAGTGAGACAGAGCCAGGAAGAATAGACCCAGGATGTGAGATCTACAATTACGTGTGTCATTAGTGGAATTAATAGTTCTAGTTTTGCCACTGACTGTGGAATCTTGTTCAAGTCATGAACCTTTGGTTTCCTCATATGTAATAGATATCCATGTCTGTAGCAGGATGCGTGGGTACAGGTAAAATAGCTGCTCTATCAAGGTTATGGTGAAAAAGAAATGAAATAGTGCATACAAAAGTGCCCCAAGAAGCACAAAAGTACTGTGCTAAATGGTTTAATCATAAAATGAATTCTCTTTAGAAAAATATTTTATACAAAATATTTCTGGCAAAACTGAATGTGTTCACAAATAAAGCTCACAAAAACTTTTAAGGACAAAAAGGCAAGCCATCTCTTCACTATGCCACTCCACTAAATAAGAGCTAATTCCCTAACAATGAATGATTATGCATTTATCCTGAATAGAACTGGGTTGGCAATAGCTACCTCTGACCATGCTAACAGGCTCATTTCCCTTTTGCTACATTTGTTGTTGCTGTCAGCTGCTGTGGAGTCAGCCTCTGACTCATGGCGATCCCGTGCACAATGGGATCAGACCATTGAGATCCACAGGGTTCTTACTGGCTGATTTTTGGAAGTAGATCACCAGGTCTTTCTTCCCAGTCTGGAAGCCCTGCTGAAACCTGTTCAGCATCATAGTAACTTGCAAGCCTCCATTGACAGAAGAGCAGTAGCTTAGCATGAGGTGCATTGGGCCGGAAACCAAACCTGGGTCTCCTACACAGAAGGTAAGAATTCTACCACTGAGCCACCACTGCTCCCATTCTTGCTGTGTTGGTGGATGGTATTTACAAGGATTATCTTCTCCTCCTTAAGCAGCTGTGGGACGGAAACCAGGAGTGGCTGTGACGCTGCCTTGGGAGCATCATAGCAAACCTGCTTTGTAGAATCAGGCAGGTGTCAGTGAAGGCCAGCTGGGCACGAAGCAGAGGGAGCTGCCCTGGTTTATGAGGACCACAGGAGAGATGCCCATGGTGGTCTCTGCCTCACCTATGATCTGTGGTAAGGAGCCACCATCCAAATCCAGCAACACCGTCCCCGTCTGGAGGCAGGTTCGGAGCTCAAAAAGGCTGTGCAGGGATAGTGTGGACACATGTGGCTTGCTCCAGCGCTCACCTCCTTCCTCGACCTTTTCTTCAAACTTTATCCACCTGGAAGGGGTAAAGATGGGGCTCAGCTTGGCCAGTGACCTCAGGAGGTACCTGGGAGTCATGTTGTGGATGCTGTTTGGCATTGATCCTAGACCAACAGACAGAGGATCTCTTGGGGACCCTGTCACTGTCTCCCTCATTCCTCCTGACAGTCATACTCAGGACAAAGAAACATACAGAGAATGACTATAAATGGGCACAAGGGATCTTTGTTGTGCTCTGTTTGCAGGGTGATGGAGATGTGCTGAAAGCAGGATTGTGGTGATGCTCACACAATTCTATAAATTCACTGAAAGCTATTTAATTGTACATTTGAAATGAGAGATGTTTAAGGTACATAAATTATACCCCAATAAAATGGTTTTAAAGGAGCTTTGGTAGTGTAGTGCCTAAGGCATTTGACTGCTAACCAGAAGGCTGGTGGCTCAAACCCACAAGCCACTCCCTGGAAGGAAAGTTGGGCAATCTATTTCCGTAGTGATACCATCTCAGAAACCCAAGAAGGGGGTCACTGAGTCAGATCTGACTCGACAGCAGTGAGTTTGGTTTTGGTTTTTGGTAAAGTGGGTTTTTGAAAAGTGTCACCTGAAACCAAGGGCCAGTCATACACGATGTGTTCAGTGCTTACCTTTTGAGGTATGATTTTGCTAGGAGCAGGCATAGCGTTCCCTGACAAGTATTTTCCCTACCAGCTCTGCAGGCCCTGTGGTTTCCATGATTCCCACTCTTAGAGTTTTGGCTCAGAAAGTTCAGGCTAAAATCCAAATGTCGTGGGGGAAGGAAAGAACTTAGACTAAGGATGTGTAGGAAACTGCCTCTGTCTGAAGTTTTGGAATCATAGGCTGGGGTGGAGGAGCCTTGGACGATGGGCTGTGCCTCCTCTTCAGAGGTCAGTGCTGTTGCAAACCCCAGAGTCAGCTTTGTCCAAGGTCAACCTCACCTTAGAGTGCAGCTTCCAGCTATTCCAATCCAAATCTCTGAATATGTTTTTTTTAAAAAAATTGTTTTAAAATATTCGGAATGACCAGGCAATGATTATCAAAGCCCATTAGCATCACAGATATGCACACAAAAATCAGCTGGGCATGTTCTGTTTCTAGATAGAAGCATAAACACTACCTATGAAATAGGTCTGTGCAAAAAGGGCATGAGGGTAGTATCCTATGACCTTTAATTTCAGAAGAGGGAGACAGAATCACAGTCAGCAGCATCAGCCCAAGACTGATTCCTATGAGGCAGAGATCAAAGATGCCACCACCCTCCAATCTTTCTACCAATTCTGACATCAACTATCTTTCCTATGGCAGTCACTTTTTCTCTGTTGTGTTCAATAATTTGTTGCAATAGCCACACAGAATTCACAGACAATATTCACAATTATGGGGTTTGTTAGGGAAGTAACGGGTCCCAATTTAGATTCAGATATTCTCAACATACAGTTCTCAGATCAGAGAGCCTTTCCTTGGCATGCCTCTCTTTGGCCCTCAACCTAGCCTCTATTCTGCTTGGGCAATTGTTACAAAGTTTTTTAGTTCTGCTGATAGGTGTACCTAGGTGCACCCAACTCCTGCCCGAAGGCACTCAGCTTTCTTGCTCCGTGGGCTGGCAAACCCACTGCTCTGCTTCGTACCAGTCTCTTGGTTCTGCTGCTTCCGCTGCTGCCATCTCTCTGCCATCATCTCAGTATAGGGATCTTGGGCTCAAGAATGTGCCATACTCTGGGCTTTTCTCTGTCTTGATGGTAGTGAGATCCCCTTTTTCTTCCTATGAGATGGCTCATTTTAAGCCTAGTGATACAGTAAAACTGACCAATGGTCATATTAGGGTTCCATACATCTTATTTGTACAGTCCTACCCCCACAAGGGCACCATGTACCTTATTTACATTATTAGCAGACTATCCAATCCCCTTGGTGGGCCACAAGCACCTTACATTTGCCTGGTTCCACCCAGTCATCTGGTGGGAGTCACAAAGGCCATGGCGAGAAGAGCCATACCAAGTAATTCACTGCACCATAGCTTATAAGCAGAAAAGTTTATGCAAAATACAGAGAACAGTGAAATGTGTTAAACACCATCACAGAGATGCAATTAGCAAATCCAGAATGTGAAAAACATACAAGACAGATGATATTTTTTTTTCCCTTAATAATAACAACAGCTGCAAAGGAAGAAAAAGACGGGGAACCTGTAGGTTGAAAAAAACCAAAAACCAAACTCACTGCCATCAAGTCGGATCCAACTTATAGTGACCCCTCCTTGGGTTTCTGAGGTGGTATCACTACAGAAGTAGAATGCCCAACCTTCCTTCCAAGGAGTGGCTGGTGGGTTTGAACTGCCAGCCTTCTGGTTAGCAGTCAAATGTCTTAGGCACTATGCTACCAGAGCTCCCAGGTTAAAAAATGACTTTAAAAAAATGTCTTAAAAGACATATCTCAACTTCTGATAAGATGGAAGAATAAAAAGACAAGTGACACAGACCCCCTTCAACAAAGAAAAGAAAAACCAATTGACAGAGATACAGAAGATAATCCTGGAACCCTGAGTTTGAAAGGAACTATACAGAAGTGGATTAGGCACAAACTGGAAAAACCTGAACAAAAACAGTGAGTACAGAGACAGAGCTGCGAGCTGTCAGCTACTCTGAGGAGACCAACAGCCTGAATATTTCCAAGTGGTGTTGGGACCTGAGAATTGCCCTAAAGATTAGTCCCGGTCACCAAGGGCTGCAGAGACAACTGCTCTGGTGGCCTATGACTAGGATGGGAAACAGCAAGGAGGGAGACAACCTGAGGTGTGGACTTTCTGCTGTCCAGAGGGTGCAGCCATTTTGATTGTTTACAAGTGGTGGCCATTTTGGATATTTAAAGTGACCAAGGGCACAACCATTTTGAATGTTTACAAGTGGCAACCATTTTGGATTTTTAAGTGATACCATTCTCGTTCGGATTCCAGGGACCAAAGAACAGGCTTTGTTTGCCAGGGCCAGCGAGGACATACAAGAGGCCAACAACAGGAAAGGAGACAGGTGGTGAGTGTATAAGTGCTCTCAACTAGTGAATAGAGGAGCACAGCATAGTACCTGCCTGTATAGATAACATACAAAGAAAACGAAAATTGTGGGCAAGTCACTCCAACATATAACCACCAATTAAATATAAACACAAAAATGTCACAATGCCTTAGAAACAACAGAGCATCACAGTCCACACAAAGAAGCAAGATAAAGCAGGGGAAACAAGAGACGAGGATATAGACCCCAAACACATCCCTAAGGAAGATGCAACATTGGAACTCTCTGATAAGGAATTCAAAAGAATTATATTTAGGTATCTTCAGAGGATTGAGAGACAGACCAAAGAAAGCACAGACAAAATCCTAGAAGAATTTTGGAAGAAAATACAAGAACAAAATGACAAAATCAATGAAAGATTAGAAATGATTCTAAATCTACAGATAGAAATCCAGAAGATTGATACTAAATTGTCAGCAATAAATAACACATTGAAAGGGCAAAGGAGTAGAACTGATGAAATGGAAGCAGAATTAATGAGATTGAAGACAAATACTTGAATACTTCTTTGGAAAGGGATCAATC